GTGCTCGTTGGTCGTATTCCAAAAACTGAGCCCTTCAATTAGCTTCTTCGGCAGTGCACTTGCATGGGAAAGGCAACTGATGCATACACTACAAGTGTTCCTCCACCCAACACCTCTCCTCTCCTCGGCGCCTTGTGGGGGTCTCCACCTCCACTTCCACTCGAACTCTATTGAGTTAGAACCTTCGGTGCAGAAATCACCTATCAGGTTGACATTAGGATTCTTGTGTAGATTCGGGTCTGCGTGGAACTCCCGGGTGACAAGGTTCTCGAGATCTCGGCCATTAGATGCGATAGCAAAAGTCAGTCCACTAATGTTTGTGTCGGCAACTGTTCCCTTGGCGGGATCCCCTCGCTGCCTTATGTTAAACTTGAAGTTAAAGAAGAGGTCATCTTCATTGGAGAGCTTTAATAATAACGGAGTTTGACATTGTGGGTCCGGATCCTAAACTCTACATGTCAGAAACGCACACCACACGGGACTGCCTACGAGAGTAGCTCAAGGGAGGTTCATATTTCGGACCTGTACAAACTCCACCAACGACTCATCGCCCAGATCCTTCTTTGCGGTAATTTTCGTGGACGGGAACGAGTTTGGCCCAATCTTCAAAACAATTCTCTGGCGCGCATTTGTAATCACCAGAGATGCAATTGATACTGTGAGACCCCAACAAGAGCAAGCAAAAAAAAACGCAGCGGCAACAACGGTCAGCGGTGTGTTGCGCAGATCTAGAGGAAGTGTTCGCATGCGGTGTGTCTGAAAAAGAAAGAGACAAAAAAAAAGCGACAAACCGCAAGAGAAGAGATAAACCCGGGGTGCATACGTCTAAATTGATCACTTAAATACAAAGTTGGCCCATCCTCGAGCTTCCCACTCACGTTGCCCATGATGGCGGCGACGGCCGAGACGTGCCTACTCAGAGACTTTCCACCTGTATATGAGAAATGAGGCTTCTTTGGCGCTTCGTGTGGTCAGGTATGAGGAGGAGAAGGGTAGTTAGTTCGGTCTATTAGATGGGTGCTGTATCGTAGCCGGCCGGTGAATATGGCGGGGGGTGCTGTTTATGTCTGTTTGTCTTTGTTCCTAGAACAAGAACATCCGAATACAAGTAAGTGTTTGATAGAAGGGGAAACCAGTAGCACGATTAGTAGAAAGGGCCCAGCTGTAGACGGGCTACTGGACAATAAGAGGATGAGGAAGACTGATATGTAGTTCTGTAGTTGAAGTGATTGGGGGGGGGGGGGAGGAGGTTTGTGTGAAATGGGGGTGAGTGGACCCGCAACTGCGGTGATGTCGGTGGGACGGAGGAGGTCGTTTGAGGGTTGGGATTTAGGGCCGGTGGGTCACCTGCTTTCTGCCACCTTTGGTATCCTATCGATGTGGTGGATGTGACGGGGGGGGGAGAAGATGGATGGATGAAAGAAGCAACGATGGAGGGGTTCCTGTCTCGGCAAACTACATACATACAGGTCGATGAGGGTCCACTCTATTGCTGCACCGTACGTGTGGTAATATATATTCTGCTGTAGGTACCTTTTTCCTGGCTCGATCAATCAAATTGTCAAGCTCGATGATGTCCGGTTGAGTTCGGATCACATCATGTAGGTAGAGAGCACTCCAGAAAGAACGATACAACTGTGGCATCCACCATCTGTAATCATGAGGTCCTGTTGGGTGGATATGTGGTCATGGCACGCGCTACAGTCCAGCAGTACTTGGTGTCCTCAACTATTCCAGCCTCCTTCTCCACCACTCACGAGCTTGGGCCACCTGCCTGTGCCTGTCGACAACCCCCTCGTACCTCCACACCCCCCCCCCCAGGTGCTTCTATTCAAAGTTCATACCCTATCCTTTTTCCAGGGCCCATCCGGGCTTCTGCCTGCCTGTCAAGGTCCCTTCTAAAATCAAATCGGGAATCAAGCTCTCCAACGTGGCTGACTAAACGCTATCGTGGGTCACCGTTATGTCTGTGTGTGTGCATCATCAACAGCTCGCTCTCGGGACAGGCTCCGAACGAAGTATTTTTTTTCGTGCCTCTCTGCGCCCTCGCCCTCATCGTTTGGGATATAAATAATTACAGGCCTCTTTTTTGGCATCCCCCAGATTTTTTTCCCAAGGAGAAAAAAAAAACCCCACACATCTAAATGCAAGTTCACTTGCGAATCTCGTGGCTGAGAACACTCTACCACCATAACCACCCCAGTCCCAGACCAGATCGGATTCAGATCTCCTTCTACGTATATACATGTATATATATTTTTGTTTGTTCTGCGCTGTTGCGAACCATTTTTTTCAACGGCCATGCTGATGACGACTCGATCGAGTACCTACACTACGCATAATGACAGAATCCGTCTGGTCTGAGCCTCCCGCATCCGATAGCATTCGCTGTTCGCCTACATGCGCCCTTAACGACAAAGCGGTTGAAAATCTGGCCTGAAAGAAAAGCAACTCCCATTGTGCATGGCAAAGAAAGAAAAAAAAAGGGATGATGCCGCATTCCAATCCCCTATTCCCTATTCCCATTACCTCACTCCCCGTCGTCCCAGTGCGAGTGTTTGCCTCCATTGCCACGAACCTCGGTGAGGGATGTTTCGTGTGAGTGAAGGCGGCGCTCCCTCCCCACCCCCCTGTCATTTCCTCCCCCAGCTACAACCGCCAGGAACAGTAGCTAAGGATTTCTTGGTAGTGGTGGTGCAACACCCAAGACCCGGCATTGCTTGCCCTTTAATTCTCCCCCTTGTGTGTGCGGCTCGAATTTAAGCTGTTGTTTTGAAACGGTTCTTTATTTCTTTCTGCTGTGAGCGATCCTTAAAAATAAAATACCAAAAAACGGGACTGGCGGCAGGGACGCGTACGTGCGTGGGTGGGGATGCGTGGACACAGTGACTGGGACACACACACAGCCTGGATGCCCTTTTTTATGGACCTGATAAGAAACTGAGTCGTCCCGGGGGCGGCGGTGTTGTGGCAGTTCACGATTAGGTTTTTAGGCGGGATTGCAATTGTGGGGCGAGTGATGGGTCGTGATTGCGGTACTTGGGCGAAGGCTAGGATGACACATAGTGTGTACCTACGTGGGACGAATATAGGTAAGCTGTAGGAATGGGCTAATTGGTGAGCGCTTTACTGTAGGATCTTCTTGAATCTGCCTGGTCCTCCGTGGAGTAGGATGCCTGGATCTGCCTTCTTGGTACTGCGTATGTACTCTAATTCACAGGGTTAGGTTTCTGTGATAAGCGCTAGGACTCGTGTTCTGGTACATGTATTTAGCCATCCTGATAACGTCTACATGTACTCACCCCTTCCGCTGTGTAAGGTTTGCGCTACATATAACACGTTGACTCAACGTGGTCTCCTCCACTGGGTCAGCCAATATCAATATATCACTCACAGCGAGTACATGTAGTGTACGCCACCCAAGCCAGGCAGGCAGAAACCGTCGTACTCTCTACACAGCGTTCATATCAAGGCAGGAGACGTGGTCATTCATCAACCCCTCGGAGGTTCTATACGACTACCAAGACCGCTGTCTAAGAATACTCGATGCTACTCCACTGCAATTCTAGAAACTGGTGGGGTGGCATGGAGTCAACCGACCAAGGAGCCTATTGACATCACTGGTCTGGTCTGGCCTGGCCTTCTGTACACTGGAGCTAGACTATAGTACGGTGAGTGCCTATCGAGACCCCGGGCTGAATCTTTCTACTCACGGGATGGGAGTGTATATTGCAAACCAGCCGTTTGCGCGGCAGCAGCGATCGACCGGCACTACACGCATTGACTCACAGAGCGCGCGGGAAAGACGCAAACGCTGATCATGATCCTGGGCCGGGGGGGGGGGGGGGGGCAGAGACTGCCTACATGTATGTAGCTACATGTACTGTCGTTCACGGGGTATTAACGGACACTAGGTGTTGACGGACAAGCCAAAAAGAGAGACAGCCAGGCTCAGTTTTGCCCTCGATTATTGGTCAAAAGGCCCCTGTCCGTCAATACTCAATGTGTCCGTCAATACCCCGTGAACGACAGTACTTGTCCCCAAGTTCCTCAATATCTACTTCCCCATTCTTGCTTTCTAGTATGGGCATAGCTAGGCAGGGAGGTATCGACGGGCTTTTAAATAGGCCCATGTTGCTATATATTGTCAATTAACGGCGGGTCCACTAATGTTCGGGTCTATATCCCCCCCTCCAAAAAAAAAAAAAAAGAAAGAAAAAAGAAAAAGTAGTCGGAGTGGTTGTAGCTAACCCCCAGTGCATACTGTCACTGTTTACCGTTCACCACCTCCAGCAGCAACCCCATCCCACACAGCTCGAACAACTACGACCCCCATGCTCACCGCAACACCTGCAGGGCAATGAACCAGGCCACTTATTACTACGTACACATTAAGGTTCGAACAGCTAGAGAACCCAAAGGAAAAAAAAAAGGACCAAGGGGGGGGGGGGGGCAGACTACCTCCACCTCCACCCCTCCAAAAACGAACCCGCATCACGATATATCACTCGGCCCATCGACTAAATGCGAATTCCCAAACATGGCCTCTAGTCGATGAGATCTTTGGTTGGGTTGTGGATGCAATGTGGGCATATGGGACTAAAGATGTGTACTGCGCGCTCCTTATGTATATCTGCAACGCGGTAACGGTAACAATTAAGCACCCAGCAGCTCTCAACGAACAAATCATAGGAAAGCAATATGTATATGTATATATGAAATTTTATTAAAGCAAATTAGCAGTAAGATCCCCAATAACGACCTATCAAAAGAATTCGAATACAAAGCCAACTCCCCAGCAAAAAAAAAAAAAAAAAAAAAAAAAAAAAAACCGAAAAAGACAAAAAACACCAGATAGATGCAAGTAAGAGCATATATATAAATAAAAAAAAAAAACCAATCCAAGCCAAGTCCATCCAAGCCAGAAGAAAGAGAACACAATACGCCATTCGAACAACAGGCCCACCGAAAGAAAGAACCACCAACCCAACCCCCACCCCTCACAACTCCCCACCAGACCGCGCTCCAGTCCCACACTCCGTCTCCTCCAACACCCTAATCTTCCTCAGCAGCGAGTCCTGCGGCACACACAGCCCCAGCCTATGAAAGTAGTCCCTATGCGCCCACAGTATCTGCACCGCATTAACCCTCCCGCCCGCCACACACTCCGGGTCCTCCTGCCCCACACACAGCCTTACATCACACCTGGTATACGGCAGCGCCGGCTTCTCAATAAAATACTCCCCCGCATGCTGGCGATACCCCCAGGCCCCCAGCGGCACCAGCGGCACCGGGTCCTCCGCGTGCGTCACCCGCCGATACGTCCTCTCATCGAAGCGGCGGTCAAAGTAATCCGCCAGCCCCTGGTTCCCGACCTTCGGCTCGCCGAAGGTCGTCACGACCGGGTCCCACCCGCGCCCCTTGTAGTCGAGTGCGGCGAGCGCGGCCACCGCCCCGCCGAGCGAGTGCCCGACGAGCGTGAGGCGGTATCCGGGGTGCTGGGCGCGCAGCGCCGCGACGACGCCAGAGATGAGGTCGTTTGTGTGCGACCAGGACTGCAGGAAGCCCGCGTGGACGAGGCAGTCGTCGCATGTGTCTGTTGTGTGGCCGTCGTCCGGGTAGGGGACGTATTCTTGCTTGTTGATTGCCAGGTCAGCGAGCGCGTTGGCGATACTGTAAGTGCCGCGGAAGGCGATGATGATGCGTGGGGGTGCGGGCGGGTGCGAGAGTGCGATGTAGCCGCAGGAGTCGGAGAGGGTGAGGCCGGTGTTCCAGGTTTGTTGCAGCGTGAAGGTGGGGAAGTCTTTGCAGTAGGAGAGGCATTGGAAGGGGGCGGAGACGCCGGTGTTGAGGCTGCCGACGCAGTAGGCGATGTCGACGATGCGGGAGAGCTCTTCGAGCTCGGCGAAGAGGGCGTCGGATATGGGGGGGTTTCGGGAGGTGGGGTTGGGGTGGAGGGGTGTCTGGTGGACGGGGCTGGGGGTGGTGAGGGGGAGCTGGAGGGCCAGCAGGAGGAGGAGGAGGGGGGTGAGCTGTGGGAGGAACATTGGGGGGCTCTGTCACTTGTATCTGTGTGCAGTAGCAGGGTGAGTGGAGAGAGGCATGAGGTGTAGAGAGAGGGAGGGGGGAAGAAGAGGAAGAAGAGGAAGAGGAAGAAGAAGAAGAAGAAGAAGAAGAAGAAGAAGAAGAAGAAGAAGAAGAAGAAGAAGAAGAAGAAGAAGAAGAAGAAGAAGAAGAGAATGATATATGGCTGTTGTGTATGATGTATCGTATCCAGCCCGTGCAGAGAAAGGAGGTGAGATCCGTTGAGTGTTGAGGAATCGTCACGCGGCGTCACCCAACCCAACGAGACGAAAGCCTGGGGAAGCGCAAGAGCGATCTGAGGGATGCAGGCTGCAGGCTACAGGCTACCCCGGCCGGCGCACGCCCTGGTCACGGCGCTCCTTTGCTGGTGTGGGGTTGCAACGATGTGTGTGGGAAGACACCGATAGGAGCAGCGTGCCATTGCCTCACGATGCCTCACGATGCCTCACGATGCCTCACGATGCCTCACGATGCCTCACGATGGGGGCGCTTCCCGGGCTGCAGCCGGGGTGTTTGTTTGGTGTTTCTGGAACGATGATGGATGCTGAGATCTGGATGTTCACTAACCACAGATCTGTCCAGGGATGCTTGGGAAGGTGCAGTTACGATAAAGTACGGCTGCAGTTGGCTCCTGTGCTCTGTGCTCTGTGCTCTGTGCTGTGTGCTGTGCTACGATGCCCGTTGGTGCGGTGATACAGAAGTGTACTCTAAAACAGCACCGGGCATGCAGCAGGTGGAGTGTTCGCTTCACGAATAGAACGCTATCCAAGCATACATGTAGTTGTGGGTTTGATTTTTAAGTTGTGGGTTTTGTTAGATTTAACCATAGTTCCTCGCCCTGAGCCAGACGGAGAGAGGGACGATAATGCCATCCAAGAGTCTGTAGCTACCACTCCGAAATGCGGTCTGTAATGTCTTCTTGGCGATTACTATACATGTGTAGAGTACTCCAACCGTAACCTTGTAAAGTAAACTGCGGACGCCTGTATTTCTGTTGTGTATTTACATAGCAGCCACTTGAGGCCTCACTCGCTACTGCGATAGGTTTGGAGACCTTCGTCGGAGCGCAGAGCAGGAATGCCAGACATAGAACTCCCCAATATAAGCGAATATTGCAGCACAGTATTCCTGGCTAGAGAGGGCAGTGTTCAAATATAACAGATATGCCAGACGGGCTAGCATATCTTCTCGGCCAGGGAACGTTCGAACTCTTGTCCTGCACATCGCTCCGACACAGAGCATATCTGCTACAGAGCAGTGCGGATATCCACAATAAGAACTGCCATGGCCCCAGAGAAAACAGGTCTTTCTTTTCCAGCTGTGCTTCTTCTGCGTTAATATATATGATTAATTACCAAGGTCATAATATGGTCCAGCAGCTAAAGGTCCGTCACAGACAGCAGTTCTTCCTGGATACGTTGGTCTGTATGTCTTAACCAGGTGTCAAGCACCAAAGGCACTGTCCCTCACTCCTGGATAGAAGGAAAGAAGCCCTGCTTCCACCTGTGAGTTCATGCACTGCTGCTCCTCTTGTCGATAATCAACAGTAGAGAATAGTACTGGACTAATCTGGACTAGCTGGCGGTCACGTGAATGACGATAGTTGCCAAGCCAGCAGCACATATCCAAGCCAGTCATCTCGTCTTCAACTTGAACTTCACCTACCTCAACTACCTCTGCCTCTCCACTTCACCTACCTCTCCACTCCACCCACTTCTACCTCACCCACTTCTACCTCACCTACCCCCCCCCCCCCCCCCATACACACACACCACCACACCATGGCCGACCCCCCCAAACCGTCCTTCTCCCTCTCCCTCGGGCCCGCAAAGCCCAAAGTCCCCACGCGCAAGCCCCCAACCACCTTCGCTGCCAAACGCTCCGCCGCCCACCTCGACTCCGACGAAGATGACGGCGCCGAAGACACGCACACCGCCAAAGTGCAGCTCGTCACCGCCTTTGACGCCACCCGCGGCGGCGCCGTCCACCTCCACAACAAACCCGCCGAGGAAAAGGGCCCCCTCGTGATCCCGAAGCTCTCCAACCGCAACTGGCGCGAGGAGGCCGAGCGCCGTCGCGGAGGAGGCGGGAAAAAAGCAATCTATCTGCCCCCCGAGGCACTCGCGAAGCAGAAGGGCGGCGTGAAGCCGGAGGACCTGGTCGAGACTGATACCATCGAGCAGAAGTACGGGCTGCAAGTGTTTGACCGCGCGCCGGAGGACGAGCAGGAAGCAGCGGCAGCTGGAGAAGAGGCACCGACAGACGCGCCACCACCACCGCCGGAGAAGCAGCAGACGGAGGAGGAGCTTGCGCTGGCCTCGCTCCTACGCGGCGACGCACCGGCGCCATCGACGCTCGTGCTTGCGCCCGCTGCGGCATCGGGTGGAAACGACTGGCGCGCTGCGCGGGCTGCAATTGGCAACGAGGACGCCGCGTTCAAGACGGACGTTGCGAGCCGGCCGGAGATGGCCACGCTGGAAGACTACGCGGCGGTGCCCGTCGAGGAGTTTGGTGCGGCGCTGCTGCGCGGCATGGGCTGGAAGGAGGGCGACGAGGTTGGCAAGCGGCGGGGCGCGGCGGCGAAGCCGCGGGTGGTGGAGCGGCGTGCGGCGTTCCTGGGGATTGGCGCAAAGGCGAAGGAGGAGGTGATGGAGCTGGGGACGTGGGGGAAGGGCGACAAGAAGAACCGGAGGAAGCGTCAGGATACGACGTATGTGCCGGTCGTGATGGTCGATAAGAAGACGGGGCGGGTTGTGGACCCGGCGGAGGCGGAGGCCATGGCCGCGGCAAAGGGCGTGGACGGGAAGAAGTGGGAGAGGGGGGAGGAGAACGGGCGCGGGGAGGAGAATGGGCGTGGTGAGGCGCCAAAGAGGGAGCGGTCGAGAGACCGAGACCGGGACAGAGAGAGGGACCGAGGTGGAGACAGAGATAGAGACAGGGACCGCGACCGCAGAGAGCGGAGAGGCAGTTACGACTCTTCAGACCACCGCCGCAGAGACCGTGAGCGCTCAAAGGACCGCAGCAACGGGAATGACCGTGACCGTGACCGCGACCGTGACCGGGAGCGCAGGCGCGGGGACGACGACCGCGACAGACGGAGAGGCGATGATCGGCGCAGGGACGAGCCCAGACGGGACCGGGACAGGGACCGTGATAGACGGGACAGGCGTTAACTTTCGATCAGTTGCATGTTACTTAGGGATTGGGGTTAGCTAATGATTCTGAAATTGCTATTTGGTGGTTGTACGATAGGGAGAGGTTATATATCATTGGCTTTTTGTTTGTGATTGTGTGGTAGAAGATAATTTGATAATGTGTTTTGCTGTTTGGACTTTTTGGAGTAATGGCGGGTGTGGTCGTAGAGTGGTGATGTGTGGCGGTGTGGGGAGTCGAGCACGAGTGATATCCTGTGAACCGAACAAACACGGAGGAAAAGACCCAACTGCTTGGCCCTAACCTCAGCTCTTGAACGCTTCCCATTCCAAAACTACCCTGAAATAGAGTCTGCTACATGCTGGCCCTCTCTTGATGTGCCCCTTTTGTTCTTTACTCCGCGGGTGCCCAGTGCACCGCTGCATGTAATACACCCTCCCTCCTGCTCATCAGCTACTTGTACATGCAGTTCGTACTGCGTTATGTGCTCTTGTAGTGGTGTAGCAGTACAGTCCGGCCGGGGAGCTACTAAGCTTCTCACCTCTTGTAAATTTCACTTAGTCTTAGACAGCCAGTCGTCCAGTCGGACTGCAGTCGACTGCGCCATCCGTTGACGTCGGCTTGGCGTTTTGGACTGCATAAGAGGACTGGATGGACTGCATCAGACTGCCAATTTTCCAGCCAAGCCAGTCCGTCCAACGATCCCGTCGACGGGCAGACTACGGACTGCATAAAGCCCCCAAAAATAGGCTTAACTCGATAAATTGCCAAGGGAAGTTTTGATGTTTTGATGTTCGGATTTTGGAGGTAAGGTAAAAAAAAACAGGAAAGCAACTACAATTCAGTCGCCCTCTTCAATTGTGATGGAGGAGTTTGATATCGTGTTTAAAGGGGTCGAAGTTACCAGAATGCCTAACCAAGGCTGTCTAAGAAATATTTTTTTTTTTTATTGCACTATTTTTTGGCTTAGTATGTAGGTATTCTCACTGGTGTCAGGGGATAAGAACAATTCCGTCCTTTCTGTCGACTGCGACTGACGGACTGGACGGTCCGCTGCTTGGAAGTCCGTAATCATATGCAGTCCAAAAAACTGGTCCGTGAGTTGTAGTAGTGCAAGTTGTAATAACCATCTGTTCATTGCAGGTTGCATGATGTAGCTGATATGATACTAGCACATCTCCGTCGAATTCGTCTGCTATTTCCTGTGCTGGGCGGGGGGGCACCACTCACTCATTACAGGCCGAGGCAGCACGTACACGCCAGGTTGCATACACGGGTGAATTCTCAATCAATCAATCAATCCAGCACGCCAGGTTAACTTGGGTTTTTGGGGGGGGGGGGGGGGGGGGGGGGGGCGAGCGAGTGATATATCATGATGCACGCCAACCAAGGCTTGATTTTTTTTCGCGGGGTGGTTGTTTGCGTTATATAGGGCGCCGACATGATATTTTTTCGTCGGTAAAGGAAGTGGCCGGGCGGATTAATTGTCGATACTGTCTAGAGTGGCTAGATATGTAGTTGTGCTTTTGTGGGTGCTATGGAGCCCGAGGCCATGCATGGTGGGATTGTTGGAATAAACCTGCAGCTAAATTCTGGGACATGGCTATATGAGGACGTCGACTCCATCCCCCCCTTGGCTATGGTGTGTTCATGACCCGTCACTCGTGCGGCTTAACTAGCGGGGCGTTGCCCTCCCACCACTTCCAATCAGAGAGACGCGCGCGAGGAGGATGGGTTTAATTGGTGGGGGGAAAACACTAATTTTGGTCAGGGCGAGATGAGCCTGAGTCAAGTATACATACAGTCGCACCTCACTATGCCGGATCCCAATATCCCGGATCCCTTGCTGTCCCGTACGAAATCCTCTGGGGTTTTAATTCTCTTACTGCAAAACCAATTTGCTATCCCGGATTTCTCGTATGGAAATTGTCTGGTTCTTGGCATCCGGCATAGCGAGGTACGACTGTATTGGAGAGGGGGTAGGTGTACATACATGTATGTACGTACAGTACATGTCCCTCGGCTCACTCGTACGGGGCTTGGATGGGGGACCTGCAGCTCGGTTGGCAGCGGGAAATCATCACACTATCAAATCAATAGGTATTAATATTCGAGTACCTGGAAATTCAAACACCAAGTGCAGATATGTAATAGCAGTATTTATTGATCCCGCACGTATATACCACCGCCCCTCTCACCACCATGACATAACACCAATATCGAATACCCCACCCGCTCAGAACGCATCACAGAAATTAAAGCACTCCAGTTCAAAGCAATAAACATTACTCTCAAAACCCTACATAGCCAGCTAGGAGGCGGAGAACCTGCCTCCATTCCTTCCCTTGCTCTTGCTTTTTGTTACGGTAAGCATCCCCGCGGGTATATATCACTATCACCAGTACAAAGCGTTCACGGATTTAGCTAGACGGAACTCAGCAATTGAGACACTCGCACACACACACACACACACACAAATACACAAAGGAAAGAAAAAAAAAGGGAGGAAGAGAATACTCTGTAATTAATATAACGGGCAACCCAGAAAAGAAAGACAACAAAAGAAAAAAAGCTAATTATTCCCCCAAACAGAAAAAAACCATACATACTAGTAAGTGAATTCCGAAGAGTGGTAAAGAAAAAGAAAAAAAAAAAGAAAGAAAAAAATTCCCCAACCCTTCCCTGATCAATTCTTCCCAACATCCCATCGTGAAAAAAAAGTGTGTCGGTATCGTTGTTGTGCTGTGCTGGTGAAAAATCAAATTATCTGACACCATCAATTTTTAATATGTACCGGAATCCATTAGGCTGTGGTTGTGTTGGTGGTTTTCTTGTTGAGCAGGGTGACGACGACCGCGATGATGATGACGACAATGATAATAAGGACTGCAGTTTCCCCCAAAGCAAAAAGATTAGAAGCCAGAAAAAAACAAAACACCCAATATTTTCCACCAATCCGTAAGTGTTTTTTCCCACGATCCAGATGTAGTTTTAAAGAGAGAGAGGGAGGGGAATAAGAAATTGACAGTTAAGGAAAAAAGAAAAATGAGGGTTAAAAATGAACAACGAAACAAGAATCTTCCACCCGCTCTTTTGTTTCAAAAAATACAAGTCTCTCCAGTACCAGGTATAAATATTTGCCTCCGAACCATTTCCTCCCTTGATGCGTCCAAGGGTATCCGATCACCACATCCCATTGACCTTTGTCACCACAACGGCGATGACGACAATTGCGATGATGATGAGGACTAAATGTGGAGCGCAACGCGAGGATTTCGATGTTAGGGTCGTTCTTTTTTTCTCTTTTAAATGAAAAGGGGGGATCAAAAAAAAGAGAATTGAAAAATCCAGCTAGGTTCCTCGTCCTGGTACGGCCGTCTATCATTTTCGCGTTTGCGTGACCACTACTGCGACCACGACTGCGATGACAATGATAAGGACTGCCCTCCCAGACCACCCACTCAAGGGATATAATCCTGGTTATTCCCAAGCGGACGGTAAAACGCTGTAGGGATAAGGGGTCCCAGGAGAGACCGCCAAAATCAAGAAAAAGAAGAAACTAAACTACAAACGCAAGGGGAAGGGATGGGGAGAAATGAATGTGGAGAAAAAACTACGCAAGAAAAGATTGCTAAGGGTGCACTTACGGACTATCAACAAGCACCACCACTTCTTGCGTCTCCTTGAGCGCGCCTTTTCCACCGCCTGTCCTATCTGTTCCTGCGCTTGGTCGACGTTTGTCTGAATTTCTTCACCACGCTGATCAATGACCTCGACCATGGTTTCTTGCTCCTCTACAAGCTGCTCCATTTGGTTAAACAGGTCCGCGAGTTCGATGATGGTCTTTTCGATACGCTGAATTTCGTTGTGTCGAGTCTGGACTTCACGAAGAGCTGAACGGGCCTCGCCACGACGGTTGCCAACAGTCTGCAAGATATGTTAGTTTTCGGCGTGATAAAGTCTGGATATAATTCCGGTGCCAACGTACTGCCTGCGAGAAGATCTGTGCGCCCTGGCTGTCGTTACAAGCTGCCTCAATTTCTGCCTCCGTCGCCTCTGGACAGACAATCCTGTATTGCCTGGCCATCTGCTCTTTTGACCGCTTTGAGTAAGCAGCTTCCACCTGCTGGTACTTCCTCAAAGTTTCCTTGAAGTTCCTATCCAAGTTTCCGACCTGAGGAGCCTTTGAGGGATCTGAAGCAGCCTTGCCCTTGAGCCTCTTGATCCTGTTCATCAAGTTCTTGTTCAACGCCGAGGTCTCAGCGACAAGGGAATCCAACTGGTGCTGAGTCTGCGAAGAGGCGGACTCGTCGACATCCGTCAGTGAGCGTTGGTGGAGCGCCTCGATGCGTGAGATGTTGCCCTTTGCGGTTTCAATGCCTTCTCTGAGCTCGTTGACTTCGGCAAAGAACTCTTGCGGTGATTCACCGTAGCCGGGCGAGCCGCCGTTCATGTTGCCCATTTCATAAGTGTTCCCCGCGCCTAAGGGAGAGTACGGTTCAACTTTTAGTTTACATAAATCAACCTCCAAACGCCCTTATCGGTATATCGATCTCTTGCGCACCACCAATAGATGGTCTTGGGGAGAGGGTTCTTACCTGGCGCGCCGCCGCCATATCCGCCACTGGCACCGTAGTTGTCATTGGGGTTGTAGCTGCCCTGTTGCGCATAAGGGTTGTTCTGACTGTAAGCGTAACACAAAGTTTGTCAGTAAGGCGTCAAAGAGAATGTCTGGATTGTGGGTGAATGGTGTATATAGGCGGCATTTCGTCATGGAAAAGAGGGGCAAAAGGTAGTGTTGAAAGTTTCTAGGAGAAAGAGAAGAGACAGGAGAAAGGACATACCCGTAACCGCCCTAAATTCAAGAGGAAATCCTATTAGTTGATGCTCGAAACACGTAACCTTCGGCTGGTTTGGGGGCAAACATACACTCATTTTGAAGGCGCTTGTATTATATTAATGAACACGAGAAATTATTTTCGCGTTTCCCGCCAGGAGAATACTGATGAAGAGTAATGGTGTTACCGATGGCTGGGTGTGTTGAGTATTGTTTAAAAGGGTTTGTTGTAGAAACAAGCGAGAAGGAGCGTCCAGAACAGAAAAAAGAGTCTGAGAAAGAAAGGGAGGTTTGAAAAGACGGGAGGGGGGTTTACAAAGTTGAAGAGAAGGAGAAGGAGGGTGGGAGGGAGTTTGAATAGAAGGGGGTGGGAACAGGGAGTTGGTAGTTAATGTTGCAGGAGAGATTTAGCGCACGGTATGGTATAGGCTGATGGCTGGTAGCAAAGCAATAGTAAATCAGGGAGGACTGTGCTTGATTCCTGACCGTTCAAGGGGTGTTGTTTTGAATGATTCAAAACAGCGGAGGAGACGGGTGGGAAGGGGGAAGGTTAGATATGTACGCTGAACCTTTTGCATGGATTGCTCCCGGGGGGGGTGAGAAAAGAGTTTATGTACGGGACCAGTACGGTACTGTAGGTACTGAGGCCTAGGGAAGGGAGGAGGAGACCTTTCTGTTTAAAGAGACAATTTAAAACGGTTGACCAAGACTTCTACCGACTATGCTACCAGATTTATCTACATACATGTACGTACCCACATGCTCTCATTTCAATTTCATGCCTGGCAGCTTCCCTTCGTTCCTTCGTTCCTCCACCACCTCTTCTTTTCTGCTTCTTCGACTTCTTCTCCCTCCTGCAGCTGTCTGTTCCACCTTCTGCACTCGACCTGTCTCATAATGACATAAGCTGTGCTTCTAAACCGTCCTGGGACACGCTATCGACTGACGGTCGTCGTCAAATTTAAGGCTGTGCCCCAATGTGGCAAAAGTCTGCGCCTTGGCCCGGAAAAATAGCCCTCTTTTAGAACAAACCTTTGCACCGAGCACCGTTTCTTGTCCCGATCAGGCGACTTTTTTAGCGGCGGTCTCCCACCGTTCACCGCATCTACACCGCAGATCATGCCCTGTCTTTAGGAATTGTAAGGTGGAGCAACGGCAGTGGCTCAATTCAATCGATAACCACTGCAACTCATTCACAAGTTACCGGTACTGTATGTAGAATGGGTTTTATCGCCATCATTTTCTATGGTGGTGGTAGTAGTGAGAACCTCTGATTTGCGGTATCGAGGGACTTTTCGCCCAAAGAAATGTCCCCAAGCTGCCCTGCAGCCTATCACCAGCCATGCCATACTTCAAGACGTGCAGCGGAATCTAGCCCCCCGACCCCGCAATCAGCAGTCAAGCACATTCGCCTAGGGCAATCAGTTGGCGGGGGAAAGCGATAAAAGCCACGAATACGAAGGATCCTGCATGTCCCAGACCAGCCAGTCAAGTCAGCCCTGTGCAAATCGGTACTTGGTGAGTACAAAGGACGATGTACATACCTACTTTTAGCCCTGCGTCCCAGATGGCCTTGGATACACATCGAGAGACGTACCTTAAATTTATTAATAGCCCACGAACTAACTCACCCAGCTTCGCGGGTCGTCGTCGACGACGTCGACGACGGGCCTTTTTCTCGCTCGCATGCTTAAGCGGGACTCGGGATTTCCCTGCCCCGTGGTAGGTGCACGACGTGATCTGACGGGGGAGCCTCCGAACGGGGGCTCTAAAATAACATTCCGATGACGAGTCCTCGTTGATTCATCCGGCTGGACGGTACCTATCGTGCTGTATACGTACTGTACCTTGGGGGGATTAGTTGATCCATGTGGTTGGATTCTGCACTTCTACCTGCCAGTTCGATTTGTAATATCAAGTGGAATGGTGGAATCATTGATCTTTCTTCACATGTGACTATTGGGCCAATGGGGGGAAGCAGACCTGGGAATGAAACTGCGTCCCGGATTGTGTGCTGGTGCCTGGGGCCTGGAGTCTCAGATATAAGTAGGTTGCGGATCAATACTGTTGACGAGGCGTATCTACAGCCCACAGAGATACAATGACTTCAATCCCTTCAAACGTTAGAAACTGTACACATATTGCATGTGTACACGTAGAGTCCGCCGCAACAAAAATCTCAAAGTTATCAATACCGCTCAATGTCTTTGCCCCACAATGCGTCCTGTTTCACTCCTAAACACTTCTCTTCTACGACCACGAAAGATCTAGGTACTATATGCACGTTGGGGACGTCACTCACTAGAGGTGGGGGAAAGGAGGATTATAGTCCCGGACCTCAAGCATACATGTAACTATACCCTAACCCAGTGCCAAGACACCTCGTTCTCGAACCTCTAGAACCCGATCTTGCATCAACATTCCTCACTCCCTTTTCCACAACCGAACCAATTTTCCAGCCAGTGCACCGAAGGAAGACTCCCCTCAATGGTACAGCCTAATTATCCGCACGCCACCAATACCTTAATCCTCTCAACCAAACTTTATATCTCAATGGCGCCCCCACCATCAACACAGCTACCCCCAGGCCTCCCCATGATCCTAGCTTCGGCACTCTACTCTAATGAGGCTCCCAATCTAAAATTTTATCTCCGAAGCCACAAGGATCTAACGCAAAGAAAAGCATGGATACCTCCATACCCTTATGAAACCGGCAATTGGTGCCAATTTTGTGGGCTGGATCGAGATGCTTTAGATATGTATGCAGCGAGTTATCTAGGCAATGTCCATGATAGTGAGGATTGCGCGAAAGGGAGGCTTAAGTAAGCCTGGAATTTGACGGTCAAGGTCAACGGGGGTGAAGTATACATAAGTAGGTTTCGCTACCGGAGGTCAGAATGCCTAATGATGACCTTATGGATGGGTTATATGTAGGCCTAGTTATCACAAAGGCGTGAATCTGCTGATCCCCCCAACAATTAGAACAGTAATCCGCCAAGTACTCGAAAGAGAACTGCTAAACATCACATCACCAAGACTATCCACCGGGGCCGAGTGATATGTCATGATCCAACAGGGCGGTACACAACACCAGATGCACGATCAAATGGGATGGATTGAAATGGGACTTAAATTGTCGTTTCTTTCCTATAGATTGATTACCCAGCTCCTAACAACCGCGAAAACTTGTACAGCAAGAAAAGAAAGAGAACAACAAAATAATAAAAAGGCCAAGAGGGATCTATCAACCAGCTAAAAGCACTTTCTTAATGATGGAAAAGTCTAGTCTCCTGCTCAACAAAGGTGATACCGCAGCTTGCGGCGGCCTCGTGGACTGCCTTGTCGCTCACTGAGCCACCAGGGGCAGCGATGTACTTCACACCAGACTTGCGGGCACGGAAGACGTTGTCAGTGAAGGGGAACTATTGCACCAATGTATTAGTTTTTAAGTCGTTTGATTTATATGTAGGGGGTGGACTCACGAATGCATCACTTGAGACAGCAACGTCGCAGAACTTTGCCATCCATTCGGCCCTCTCCTCCTTGGTGAACTCAGCCGGGAGCTCCTCAAAGACAGCCTCGTACAGCTCTCTCTCAGCAACATCCTCCTTGGCCGGAACCTGTCCAGTGACAAAGAGATCAATAGCGTTGCTCTTGTCGGGGCGCTTAGTGCCCTTCTTCCACTTGAACTCAAAGATCTTAGGGTGCTGCCTGAGCCACCAGTTATCGGCCTTATCACCGGCAAGTCTGGTGCAGTGGATTCTGGACTGCTGACCGGCACCAAGACCAATGATCTGTCCGTTCTTAGCGTAGCAGACAGAGTTGGACTGAGTGTACTTGAGCGAAATGGTCGCAACAGTGAGGTCAATGAGGGCCTGGTCAGGGAGAACGGCGTTCTCAGGGGTAATGATGCGTGCGAAAGACTTGTTGGTGATCTTGATGTCGTTGCGGCGCTGGGTGAGCGAGATACCGTAGACCTGGCGGGTCTCCTCAGTGGCGGGCTCGTAGAGAGGATCAATCTCGAGGATGGTGTAGCGGCCACCCTTCTTCTTCTTCAAGATCTCAAGAGCAGCGGGCTCGTAGCCGGGGGCAATGACACCGTCAGAGACCTCACGGTTGATAATCTTGGCGGTGGTGACATCAACAATGTCACTGAGGGCGACCCAGTCACCGAAGGAGGACATTCTGTCGGCACCTCTGGCACGGGCGTAGGCGCAGGCAAGAGGGCTCTCGTCGAGTCCGGCGATGTCGTCGACGAAGCAGACCTTCTTCTCGACGTCGGAGAGCTTCACTCCGACGGCAGCACCAGCAGGGGAGACATGCTTGAACGAGGCGGCGGCGGGGAGGTTAAGGGCCTCCTTGAGCTCCTTGACAAGCGGCCACGAGTTCAGGGCATCGAGAAGGTTGATGTATCCGGGTGAGCCGTTGAGGACTTTGAACGGGAGGTGGCCGGACTTGACGAAAGCCTGAGCGGGCTTCTGGTGGGGGTTTGCGCCGTAGCGGAGAGTAAGCTGCTGGAGACCGTCACCAGCGTATCTCTTCCTGAAGAATTCAGAGATGGCTGCGTCGTAGTCCGCAGTGTGCTCGAATGCCTTCAAGGCATACTGCTTTCTTGAGGCCTCAGAGACCTCGCCCTGTCGGAGCTCCTCGAGGAACGAGGGGTAGTCGGCGGGGTCAGAGAGGATGGTGACACGGGTGTGGTTCTTGGCCGCAGCGCGGAGAAGAGTGACACCGCCGATATCGATCTCCTCGACGGCCTCGGCAATGGTGACATTAATCTTCGCAATTGTATCCTTGAACGGGTACAGGTTGCAAACGACGTAGTCAACCTTGTTGATGTTCTGCTCAGCAAGATCCTTCTCGTCAGATTCAAGGTTGCGGGCTAGAATGCCGGCGTGGACAGCGGGGTGGAGGGTCTTGACACGCCCAGCAAGCATCTCAGGTGCGTGGGTGATGCTGCTAACATCTCTGTAATTTGGAAGATGACAATTAGGACCCTTAACTTTTATTTACGATATCAATTGTTGGACTTACTCCACGGGCATACCAGCATCTCTGATCAGATTGGCGGTACCTCCGGAGGCCAAAAGACGGATTC